TCACTGCTGGTGGGAATGTAGACTGGTACAGTCACTATTAAGAATAGAGTTACTATCTGACCCAGAAATCCCTCTTCTGGGTGTATATTCGAAAACATATATTTGCAAAAGTACAGTATTCATTACAGTATTATTCATGGTGGCCAAAACATGGAAACAACCAAAGTGTTCTGTGACAGAGGATTGGATAAAGAAGATGTGGTACATATACACAATGGAATACTACCCAGCCATAAGAAAAGACAAAATACTGACATTTTTGACAACATGGATGGAGCTTGTGAATATTATGCTAAGTGAAATAATTCAGGCAGGAAAAGCTAAGAATCATATGTTTCACTCATATGTGGGATATAAAACTGAAGCTCGTGGACACAAACAACAGTGTGGTGGTTGCCAGAGAAAAGGGGGTGGGGAAAGGAAGGAAGCCTAATATATGGTGATGGAAGATGATTTGACTTTGGGTGGTGGGCACACAGTACAATATACAGATCTTGTAACACAGAAATCCAGAACTGAAACTTATATGATCCTATTTGTTATGCCCAGATTTCAAGATCCCCAATAGACCACACCAGGGAGCCAGCCGTGTCCGATGCAAAAGCAAAGAGTCTTTATTCGAACTAGTTCGGCTCCCCGACCACACTCACCGACGCAACGGCAAGCCAAGTGGCAGAGAGAGAGAACTCTGTGTGGAGAGAGGTTTTATAGGGGGGTTGGAGTAAGGGGAGGAGAAAGGACTGTGGGCCCTGCCGATTGGCCAGGCGCAAGTTGGTGTCTTGTTCCTGGGTGTGGCTAGCAGAGGCTTAGGCTTCCGGGAAGAAGCTCCTTGCCGAGCACATGGCAGCCCCAAAATGGAGGATACAGGTTAAGATGGAGGGCATAGCCCTTACCCTGGGGCAAGATGGAGGGCGTAGTCCTCGCCCTTTCACTATTAACCAATGTCACCCCAATAGATTTAATAAAACATTAAAAAATTATATAGCATAATTTGTGTTCTAGATGTACTAAGCATGTTTATATCAATTTGAGTATAAGACAATTGAAGTCAAATATAGAGCAAACTGTTGAAAGAGAAAATGTTATAAAATATTTGCAAATCAAGTAGAATATATATATATATTCAAATATATATATATGCAAATTCTTCAAAAAAAATTTACCAGAACTAGAGACAGAAATCTGAATATTCTGATACTTATTAAAGAAGGAAAGTCAAAATTTAAAATCTTCCTATAAAACTATCAAACCTGGATAGTTTTACTGATGATTCTTTCTAACAATTGAGAAGGAAATATTACTGATCTTATATAAACTCCACTAGAGATTACAAAAAGAAACCATTTCTAATTCATTTTATAATGTTTGTAACCCTTGATACCAACACTTGACAATGTCATAACAAAAAAGGAAAAACCACAGATCACTATTCCCTCAAGGACCTACACATACACAAAAAGCCCTAACAAAATAAGAAGAA